GGCCAAATCTGGGACAATATGAAGATCAAAATAATAAATAATTAAATAATAAAAATAGGAATTTAGCAGTGCACACTAATGGAAAAATTAAAGAAAAGGGGAAGGAGAGGGAAAGAAAGGTGAAGGGGAGGGGAGGGGAAAACAAAAGGGAAAAGGAAGGAAAAAGAAGGACAGGGAGAAAAGAGGAGAGGAGCTCTTCCCTACAGCAGAATGCTTACTAAAAAATTGTAGATCAGACAACGAAATTATAAAAATCACCTTTTGGCAACCATAGAGTAATAATTAGTTCAGGCAAGAAACATTAATGGATGCTAAAACTAATGAGTGAAAATAAGAAGAAAAGTAGGATATTCGTAAAGCCTCAAAATATCTCCACATAAAATATTTATTGATGATAAATGAAAAATAGAGAAACCTGGAAGACATTACCTTATCCAGGTGATCAAAGTTAATCTCACCAGTGGAGGTAGACAGACATCACATGCCACCTGATGGGAGGCAGTGAGAGGAAAATAGTTCCTCTTCTGTGATATTCCTGCCAAAAATGATTGACCTGACTCTAATATGAGGAACAACAGGCAAACCCAAAGTGAAGAATATTCTATAAAACAACTGGCTTCTAACCTCAAATCATGTTAAAGTCAGGAAAGTCACAGAAGGACTGAGGAACTGTTCCCCATTAAAGGAGACTAAAGAGACATGACAAATAATTGCAATATGACATTCCAGATTAGATTATTTTTCTATTAAAGACATCATTGGGATTGCTAAAGAAATTATTGAATAGGGTTTCCGGGTAAATGGAATATGAGAGTTCTCTGGCTGTTTTGCAACTTTTCTGTAATTTAAAAACTAAAGATAAAATGTAAAAAAAAAAAAAAAAGGTATACATTTTAAAAAAGAAACTCTAAAATTTAACTAAAAGAACCAACATCTTAAATAGTAAATACATGCAAAAATGTTCATTCCTTCTGGCAATGAAATGCAAATTAAAGCAGTCTTAAGGTAATTTTATACCTGTTTGTTATTCCTGTCATTTACTTATATTTTAGTTTGCTTTGTAATAGGATATTATAACTAGAAAGGGTTTTATCTTTATTTTGCTTTGTAAGTACTGTCACATAAAATGACTCATAATTCTTACAAAAACTCTATAAACAAAATTCAATTACTTTCTCCGTTTTACAGAAGCAATTGAGGCTTAGAAACTTGCATAGCTTCCCTGAAGCTACATAGCCAGCAAGTAGTGGAAGTGGGATGTGAACCCAGGCAGTCTGGCTCCCATGCTTTAATCTCAATGATACATTTACCGCTTTGCTATTCATACAGGGCTGAGGTACTAAAAATTGGTACAATCCTTTTGAAGAACACTGAGGCCATGCCATCCCTATAGTCACCAAATCCTCACACTTCTGCCCACTGATAAAACTGCTGAGAATTTATCCTAAGGAAAGCTATAGCAGAAGAGAGAGCTATGTGTATGAAGATGGTCACTATAATAAAAATTTAAAAGATCAATAGTGAAGTGATTAGGTTAATTATGATTCATCAACTTGATGAAATATTCTACAGTCTTTTAAAAATGATAATTATAGAGATATATGAAAAATAAGGAAATGTTTATAATATTAAGTTAAAAAACTACAAAGTAGGTATATATTTGGATATATGTAAAAATTGTATGCATATAACAACACATGAAAAAATTTGTATAGCAACAAAGGAAAAAATAACATCCAAAAATAACAGCTGCAGAAATTATCATGGGATAATCAGTGACTTATTTTCCTTCCAAATATTTTCATGATGTTTATAATAAAAAATAAAAACCGAACCTACCAAAAACATATCCTACTGATAACTGTCCAGAAAGTAATGCAACAGGGCTCTTTTCATACTTCCTCTAAGCTTCCTTTTAGAGTAGATGGGTGCTAGTTATGTCCATTTACATGGTAAGTTGTTAAATTTTTTTAAAAAATCAGACAATAAAATCATATAAATTTTATAATCCAATATAACAGAACACATACACACACACATCTAGGAGGACATATACTGGAGTATCTATAGTGGCTATCACTAGGTGGTGATATTACAGGGAATTCTTTACAGCATTTATGAAACTAGTGTTATATACAGGTATTGATTTCCAATAATATTTTTTAAAGAGTTGTATAGGTAAACTATTACTAATTTAAAATATTCAAAAATGATACATAATCTTAGCAACTAACCCCATAATTTCATCAGAAAGTAGGACAACTTGCTCATATCATTTATTCCACAGAGTTCACTAATTCTGTTCCTTTGGCTAGACTCCTCAATAATTATATCTCACACTAACAGTTTGAAAATGACTGATCGAGCATATACCTACCTATACTTTGTGCACAAGCCCAATACTTATACACACAGATCCCTGACACGTGAATTCATGTCAAGAAGGAAATGCCATTCATAATGACTGTATTACATGGATTTAAATACACTTTCCTCAGATAATACTTCTTACTGTAAACTTTAAAGCCTTTACTTTACTGTAAACTTTAACAGAAAAACACAAGCTTAGAAAGTCTTAGTCACACTCCCCAGCAACAGAATGAAAACAAAAATAATCCTATTATGTAGAAATATCTAGTGTTAACATCAGAAAAAAATTATTAATTTTATTAAGTACTTTAAATATGTTTTAGATGTTTTATAAAAGAAGTGGATAAAATCTTGTAATGTGTAAGGCTGAATAGATTTTCCTCTGAATCTAGTCAGCAAACCTGACAAGAAGGCTGTCCTCTCCCACAACCTGAAAGTGCCGAAAATCTGGTTGGTAATATGGCACTTTTTAAAAACTTCATTTATCTGTTTTAAAACAGCTTTCAGCAAGATTGCAAGTAACAACTCTGATTCCAGTTTTACCTGATTTTTCAGTCTTAGAGCAGAATATTTCCTGTTGTGCTATGACTGCATAATCATAAAACTGTCACATTCAACCAAGAATTCCCCATAAGCTTTAGAGAAAATTCATTTCTGCCAAGAAATATGGATCTGGGGAGCCAAAATGACATTTCATTCACTACAGAAGAAAACAGTGTATCTTTCATCTGACATTAAGAGTTTTTATCTTATTTCACAGGGAAATACCTCACATTATCATCATTTTAAAATTCTACTGGATATCAATGAGCAACCTAACAAAAAATATAGCAAAAATATATATTCCTAGCATTGTTCCAGTCATGGAAGGTTTAGATGCTCATTTAGTAAAAATTCACTTTCTTTACTAATAAAAACATCTCTACTATGATATCTATTTTAAGTAGACTTAATTTATGGCAATATAAACAATGAACTAACTACACATTATATGTAATATATGATATGTTTATATACCCATATGTCAATTTTCACTGAGGATATGAAAAAGAAAATAATGCTAACTCATGACTGCAGGACAACAGCACAAATTCTAGAACTCCAGAAACTAAAGGAATTTGTCTCCAGGCTATGATAAATAAGTGGAACACAGAGGATTTTTAGGACAGTGAAACTATTCTGTATGATACTGTAATGGTGAATACATGACATTATGCATTTGGCAAAACCCATAGAACTATACAATACAAATAGGGGATGCTAATGTAAAACTGAGTTAATAATAACATATTAATATTGGTTCATAATTGTAATGAATGTATCACACTAATGTAACATGTTAACAACAGAAAAAAACTCGTGTGTGTGAGTCTGGGGGGTGATGCGGAGGTAAGGCAACTATCTGAACTTTCTGCTTAATTTCTCTGTAAACCTAAAATTGCTATCAGGATATTTCAAAAAGTTTGTGAAAAAATAGAATTAAAATATAATAAAAATCCTCCCATGAACTTTTTGAAGACCCCTCATATAAAAATAAAGTTTTTGTTTTTTTTTTTAAAGTTCATAATCTGGAAGCTTCAGCGATTACTGTACCCAGTAGGATATCAGACATGACCTTTCACTCCCCTTCCAATGGTCTTCCATGACCTTCATTAATCAAACTGCTTCCTCCAGATTTCTTCTAGTTTTTCAATTTAATTTGTTTAAAAAACTTTTTTTTCCTTTCCAAAACTGGGATGGCCTTGCTGTAATACAGACACTGGTTTTGACTGACAGTTTTAGACTGACCTAACCAGCCAAGGAAGAATAAAATTAGCAAACATCAGTGAAAGAATATTATATTAATGGAGCTGGTCCCTGAACCATGACATGTTCAATTCTAATCTATTTTTTCCTCACAGCTCTGAAAAGTATATGTGTATTGTTAAAGAGCATTCAATAACTTACATAGCATTATTCTGGCTCCAATTAAAAACAAAAGGCATTCAATCTTTGTCTTCAAGTTGCTTGTGCTCTAATGTGGATGGCAGCAACATAGAATCACAAGGGGACAAATGTGTGCAGAGAAAAAGAACACAAATTAAAAATAGGAACTTGAGCCAGTGATTCCAACAACGCAAAGTGATCATACAGGTGCAGGGAGAAGACCTACTTCCAAGACAGATGCTGGGATACAAACTGCACCCTGGTGTATTTCCTCTTTTTAGATCACACTCACTTGAAATTGAGAGGAAAAGTAACGTGCGTTTATACTTCTGAAATGGCTAAATGGAAGATTAAGGTTTTCATAGAGCCACCCAAGTTCAGAGACAGTGAGTACAAGAGACTACACACTGTGTTTTATGTACCAATTACGTGCGTTTATACTTCTGAAATGGCTAAATGGAAGATTAAGGTTTTCATAGAGCCACCCAAGGTCAGAGACAGTGAGTACAAGAGACTACACACTGTGTTTTATGTACCAATTGTTGTAGTTAGCCTCCTGGTCATCTCTATTGTACAGACAGTTTAGGAAAAGAAAATATTCATCACTTCAGATTTGTATTGTTTCATTCTACAGAGGCATGCTTAGGGCACACAAACTTACATAACACGTAAAAGGAAAGATTAAAGAAATGTGCTCAACTTGCCTTTTTTTCCTCCCGAACTGAGGAAGCCAATGGCTGCTCTAATAAAACTGCTTTCAGGCAAATAGCTATAGTCAGTAGGAACTGTGGAGACAGAAAATGATCAAATTAACCAGTGAAGTTGGCAGGACTAATGAAGGAAAGATAATGATCTCATGCTGCCATATCAACATAGAGATAAAGTGGAGATGTTTATGCCATTAATCTCAGCACAATACTCTGTGGCTGCAACTAATTCTATTAGAGTTAAGTGACTGGCCTTGAAGTAATCACTTAAGCTATAAAAGCAAATCTAAAACGGTGGCAAACTTAGCAGAGGCTGAAAAAAACCAAAGAGGATAAATACTTTGCTGAAGCAGTTTAAAAAGTCCTTTCCACACTGTCACATCAATGACCCCCAATGCAATGACCCTCAGGGTCAGCAAGGAGTCTGCTGAGATTCTAAGCTGACACCACTGTTCCAGGGGCCACTTCAGGACATGCTGAATCAGATATATGGACAATGGAAATTCAACAACCAGTACTAATTGCACCAGTCTCTTACCTAAGGTAAAGACCTCTAAGTGACCAACATGTATAAATAACCAGATGTGGTTGCTGACCTGGAATGGTGAAGCAGTAACATACATGACAGTTGAGTCATGAGAGTCTCCTAAATCCTTTTCCTCACAGTCTCTCATAATTGTTTCATGAGATGGTTTTTATTGCAATAAATGGTTCAATTAGAAAATCCCATCGGAACAAGTAGCTGTACTTTTCCAGACATATAATCATTTTGCTTAGTACAAGCTGGATATAAGGTTATTCATTACTACCTGATTTGAGTATATGTGGACAAGGCCAAGGACTACGTAACATAACATAAGCCTGTGTATAAAAGCAAAATCTTGACATAAATATGCTACTCAAGAGCCTGCCCTTCAAAACTAACATTGCCAAGGGTTTCCAAAAGTTTTTCTTTTCTTTTTCTCATTTTAATATGACAACTTCCAGCTGCCTAAAGTTCATTATGGCAGAAAAGCTGTGTAGATGAATATCCTATTTCTATAGCTACAGAGTGATTGAAAGCAAGAGGAACAGTAATTACAGTGGCCCACATTCATGGTAATGCTGTCAGTAGACTACCTGTCAGTGGGTATGTAATACTAGGTTTTAATGAGAGATCTTTGGTACCTAAACCTCTCTGGCCTGGGTCTAAGATAGCCAGTGGATCACAATTCTATAAAGAGCAATGAGCAGATGTATTAACAGTGATGCCTTCCCCGGAAAATCTCCAAGTACGAACATAAATTAAGCATGTGGGGATTGCAAATATTTTTTATTGCTTTTATAAAAAAAAACAAGACATAGAAAGGGCCTTGTTATATTAAGACCTATGATTTCAACTCCAAGGCTGAGGAGGTACACATCTTTAAATGTACTTACCGCATTATTTTTTCATAATTAGGGGCCAGAAAATCTCCGGCCACACATGAAGAGAATTTTCATGAAACACAAATACTGTATGAACTACCATTACATCTAGTAAAATAAAAATAAGTCTGTTCCAAGCTTCAAGGACCTGGCTCCTAGTTTCCGGATTTCTCACTAAACTAACTCTGTATGTAAGTCACATAATCTTTTTAAGCCTTGGGTTCTTCATTTGCAAAATATGGGAATCAGACTGAATGTCTAAACTGTTCTCCAAGGGGAGCAGAGAGGAAGAGTGAAAAGAGCATGGGCTTTGGAGGCTGGCAAATCTGAGTTCAAACTACATGTCCACCACTTACTGCCACATTTCTTTGGGTAAGTCATGAAGCCTCTCCACACCCTAATTCCTTCTGATGTAAAATAGAGACGGTAATACTCACCACTTAGGGTTGTTGTAAAGATTAACGCTCTTAACAAAGTACAGAGCCCTAAATCAGCAATCCTTCCTTCCAGCTCCAGTGTTTTAGAACTTTAATCTTACCAGAGGTTCTACTTTGATTTGAGGACAGAGTAGACAGATGAAGATGTCCTAGAAGCCAGACTGTATTAGACTGAAGACCAATCACCCCAGAGACACTGATGACCTATAGATGAAAATGTCACAGTTCAATGATGGGGCAAGATCTAAGCTCCACTCAATGAAAGGCCACTCATAGAAAATAACTAATGTTTTATAAGGCAGTGGCTTAGCTGGTAATGAGTAGTTCTATCACAAGATGTAAATTCATGTGTCTAGTATATGATACCTGGGTCATATAGGTGCTCAACAAGTGTTTGCTGAATTAATGAATGAATCAGTCAATCTATTAATTAACCATGGCTGAAAGGACTAATGGTTTTCTCAGGTTTCACTGGGTCAAACTGGTCTCAAAGGAATTTTCAAAAAATGGTAAAAAAAAACTCCACAATAACTCTAAAAATGGAAGGAGATATTATCTTGTTCTCTTCTTTCAATGTTGTTCTGTTACTATTTATCATTCATAATAAGCATTTTTTAAATAATAGTTTTCATATATAGACTTTCCTCCCAAGTTATAGCAACTTAAGTTTCAACAGAATTCTTTTTTCTGAGCGTGTGAATGTTCATACACGCAAAAAAGAGTTTCTTCTGTTCAGAGATTTATGTTTGCTTTTAAAACTATGAATTACTAAAACTCCTTGATGTGGTAGGTATTATAATCAACTATGTTTTATAAGAATGAAAATGAGTATGCTAATGAAGAAGAATAAGATATAAAGTTCTATTACAGTAAGAATAGCAACTATGCAAACAAAATAAGAATGCTTGAAAAGAAATATGCCTAAATATTAGTAACAGTTACTTCATGTTTGGCGGACTATCAGTAATATTTTTTCAGGTTCTTTCATTCTATACTTTCAAACTTTATACAATGAACATAATGATTTTTTTAAAATAAAAATATTAGGGGCCGGCCCGGTGGTGCACTGGATAGTGCACCGCTTGGGAAGCGCGGCAGCGCTCCCGTCCGCCAAGAATAACAATGACAATAATTTACCCAAATACTTTCATCAGTGACATCTGAACAAATGCCTCTTGACCATTTTGTCTAGATACCTGCTCTGCCCTTTGATCACCTTCCATTTTTCCTTGTCCTGAGGGCCTGACATTCCTTGCAGGGTAAGGCTTTAATTTGTAAGGAAAACCAGTGTCAAGTTAGTTGAAAAATTCCAGTTTTCTTTTCTTCCACAGGCAGTGCATGTTTGTCAGTGAACACAGGACTATACACCACTCCCCCTTGAACTCAGCATGAATAACTAGAGACTTCCCCATTTTCCAGGTTAAATATTTTGCATCATGTAATAGAAAAAAAGACAACAAAAGAGAATATTTGTTTTCCCATGCAAGGATTTTAAAATCTTCTGCTCACCTGAGTTAAGGTTCTAATGACTTCATTAAGTCTGCCTTGAAAATGAGAGGTCTGGATGGCTTCTGACTTGAGCTGAAAGAATAGGAGAAATACCCATCCAAGCACCCGCCCCCCAAAAGTAAATAATTATATTCATAGTACATGACCTATCAACTTTTAAGCTATAGAATAATTTATCTTATGTCCTTATATTTCAAATACATAAACTGAGAGCTTCTCAAGGGCAGGGCCCATGTTTTATTTATCATTGATTTCCTAGCATCTTCAGTATCGCATGTAACAGTTATTCAACACAATTTTACTGTATAAACAAAGCAGCTCCTTTAGAATTACTCATAAATTTACACATACATACTGTAAAAACATTTTGAAGTAAAAGAAGAATTACATAGGTATAAACTCAAACATTACTGATTTAAAATGGAGTTTCTTGTGAATGACTTTTCAAATTTCATATCATTCAATCACTTTTCTCAGGCAGGGAAATTTATAGAAAGAACCTAAGTTGATTAGGTTTAATCCCTGCAAAGCAAATAAAACCAGGAACAAATCTTTATAGAAAGAATTCTTAGCCAAGAGCTGTATTTCATACAGCAAGGCATTGAAAAACCCAGTATAACTATTAATAGGAGCATATATTCTTCTGTCCTTAGCATACTAAGATATTGGAATATTCTCTTTCTGGTATGGCTATATGCACATTTAGATTTCATTCCCTCAACAGCTTATTTCTTTACCTGTATTACATCCCCTTCAGAGCCTACCAAGGCCACCATGCCATGAAGAGCTGCCAGACAAAGCATTGTGGGAGTACCCTGAAAACAAAGCATCAGAATATATCAAGAAGGAAACAGTCTTTGGGTTTGTATTTTAGAAAACTTATTATAGCATGGAGAAATAAATGGTCAAAATGGCACTCAATTTGTAGGGTCAACATAACCAGTAGAATTGGACGAAAAATGGCAACAGACTAAAATAAAGTAAAAGAGTAAGGTTTTTAGATCATATGTGGCTACTTGTTATTATTTTTCAAAAGACACAATTTTGTTTTAAAATTAAAACACTGACAAAAGAGCCAATTAAAAAAAAAAACCATAATCGTTGACAGGATGCATTATTCTATAAGGGATTAAAAGTACATGTGTCTCTTTCATTTGAAATAGCCTGTTCTTTTATTGTTAAGCTATATATCTTAGCAGCTCCTATAAATGGTCCAATAAAGTAGTTCTTTTTCCTGTATAAAAATATAAAATAGCGTACAGGAGATGACCTCTACCTGTGCTAGCACAATTTTGATCCAGGCAGGGAGCAGTCTGCTGCCCAAGTCTTCAGCTTTTCCATGTCCACACACAGACAAACCATGAACTATGTTTCCTAATGCCAGGGCAAAACCTGAAGTCTGGTATAAAACAAGGGGTGAGAAAAAGAAAAAAAGAAGACACAGGTTAGAAATGTTTATATACAGCAACATAAACACTTCTAGGGGTTCCCTTTCCTACTGATGAATTCTATTTGCCATCTAAAAATTAGAGATTTACAGATTTTTTTTTTTAATCTAGACTTTGGTTTGTAATAGAAACTGCAGAGTCTAACTGCAAGGAATTAAGTTTTAGTGAGTAGTTTATTTTAGGAAAATAATGCTGTACTGTTGAGAAACTTAGCTCAAACAATCCAAATTCTCATAAGGTGTTAGGGTGAAAATACCAAAGTAGACCACACAAGGTAAATTAACTCCTAAGCAAAAAGAAAAACATCCCATAATAAGCACAGCATATAAAAATGTCTACATTTTGGTTTTGCAAAACATATTCTGAATGTAACTGGGCAGACGTAACCATAAAACAGTAACATGCTATTATAAGCTTAAAACCAGTGAATCTTTCAACAATGCACTATGGCCAATATTAAGACTTTGGAGAAATGTAACAACAACAAAAAAAATCCAAATTGGGAAATTCTATAATGTATAATCAGAGGGAATATTTTTGCTTTCAATTTTTTTTTTTTACTGTGGCAAAATACACATAAAATTTTTCCGTCCTAACTGTGAATACCAACCAGTTCGGTGACATTAAACATGAAGACACAGACTTGTATTGTTGTTCAACCCTCACTACCGTTCATCTCCAGAACTCTTTTCATCCTAAAATACTACAACTCTATATACATTAAACAATTACTCTCCATTCCTCCCTCCCCCCAGCCCTTGGAAACCACTTTCTGTCTCTATGCATTTGACTACGCTAAGTACATCATATAAGTGGATTCATACAATATTTACACTTTTGTGATTGACCTACTTCACTTAGCATAATGTCCTCCAGGTTCATCCATGTTGTAGCACATGTCAGAACTTCCTTTCTAAGACTGAATAATATTTCAGAGGGAACATTTTAATGGTATTTAATTTAATTTATACTATTTAAATTTCCCTATACATATTCAGGCACGAGCAGGGATTTTCTGCTTTGATTTTCTGAAGTTTGACGTCATCAGTGTCCTTTATGTATTCATATCTTTACAAATTTTTGTCTCAAGCCTTACATAACTCTTAATTCCCTAGCCACATTCTTTAAGATTTTATAAATATGAAGCAATAGTTGGAGAAAGAGAAAAGCCTATTAATTCTCTCCCAGACAAAGAAAAAAATGTCTACAGAAGAAGATATGGGATAAAAAGAAAAAAAGACATCTGTGACTATTGGTATAGCGGTGAGAGAAAAAAATAGAGGTTTCTCAGTTCTAATAGTGAAAAATATCCCATTATAGTATAATTCAGAAGCAGGACTGCTAAGTCAAAAGCAGGACTTAGCAGTAGCATGAAACCCACAGAGAGAAATAATCAGGGCACACATTCCAACCTGCTGGTTGTTCTCTACTAACAGTCGAAGCTTGTTCATAATATCTTCAGCCTCCGCAGCCTCAATAATGCCAGCACTGAATGCTGATGTACATATACAGCTAAGGGTGTAGGCAAGCACCTGAGAAGAAAATACAGCAGAAAAATATTTCTTCATGAGGCAAGATAAAAGAACATGGCTTAGTTGACACAAATATTCTGCCAAACTTCTCCTTTGAAGAATTGGATTCAAATACATTCACTACAGACTGGGCACTGTTTTGCTGCCTAACTTATTATAGTTCATAACAATGTCATGATGGGTAACATTATTTCTACTTTATAGATAAGGACTTTCAGGCTCAATTACACATAGCTAACAAGTGACAGAGGCAGAATTCAAATCCAGGTCCTTAGATACTAAATCAAAAGGTTTCTTCACCCCATCATGCCAGAACACAACACGTATCAACAGCAGAAAGAAACAGATTTTCATCACCAGTGGATGTTGCTAATTGCAATGCACTCCCAACCAAGGTCAAACAGGACAGGAAAGTCAAGTAATTGAAACACTGCTATTAAGATTCCCTAGGAGAAGTAGTGGAGGATAACTGGAACAGGAATTTGGGTTTTGAAGTCAGATAATTATGTAAAATAGGGATAATACTACCCACTTCATAGCACTAGTGTGAGAACTTAATAAATAACTGAATAAATAAATAAATGAATGAATAAACAATATAAATAAAAAAGAATGTTGGGAGTGGAGACAATACTTGGATGTATGTCCCAAATTGACCATTTACTATCTAAGTAACTTCGGGCAAGTTACTCAATGTGAGTCTAAATTTTTGCAAATCAAGGCTAATCATCCCTTCTCTCCTACCTCACATTTTCATGATATAAGGATACTGTTAAGACAAAGTAGAAAATTCAACTTCTAGTGCTGGTTGATGCAGCATGAAAAATGTAAGCGGTTTCTAAGGCAGAAATTGAATAATTAAACATCACAGAAGAGAGGGGAAAAAAACTGCTTGCTTAAGGCCTTATAAATCAAAATATCAAGGCAGAAAGATGCATCAGTTATAAAAACCTTGCTTTCATTTATTCATCAAATTGCTCCTCGGAAAAATCACAAGATTTCTTCCTTTGGCTTAAAATAAAATCATGCTCTTTTTTTCATGTACTTTTAAATCATGCTCTACACCACTTTAAAAATGGAAATGTAGTGCATTTCTTAGAACAAAACTTCAACCTTTTGTGCCCCATAGAAATTCACCAATTCAACAAGTCCTATTGCTGAAAGCAGAGGAGCTGAGCAGGGAAACACAGCAGCCATTATGTACTCATCAATAGCTCGTGGGCAGGCTGGGATAAAATAGAATCTGCTCTAACGAGAGGAAGAATCTGGCCAGGCCACAAGGTCATCCCCTGCTCCTCCCAAAGAAGAGCACAGGCGATTAAGCTTCACCTGGGCACAACGGAGACAGCCATGCACATGCCAAAAACGTTCCAGTTAAACATGGTTAACACCTATGGAATGTGTCACATGAACCCTAATTCTGCATATTTTTGCACCATAACAGAAAAATCTTTTCATTAAGTATGGTAAAGGGAATTTCCTCAATAATTTTTCATGCTCGCTGACATTTGAAAAAATCAAATGGCTTTCGATTTGTAGTTTCTTAAGTTTATTCCTGGCCATTTTTTAAAGTTATATTTAGCTTTAGCATAATTCTAAAAATCTCCATTTTACCTTCTTCCAGAAGTTGCAGCTCTCCTTAGAAAGTGCCTTCTAGTGATGCTGACTTAGGTTTTTGTATTCACTAAAGGCTCTTATCTTATATGCCACATTTAAGTCTAAGTTGATTTAAACAGCCGCACAATTTGAAAACCTTATGATCTAATATAGGTTGTTTGCCAGTCAGATTTTCTCCTTATCTCACTTAAAATTGAGGAAGAATTTAATTTACAGGGTTTCCAAAATATCAGTAGTAGCAAATAAGCAGCAACAAGAAAACAAAAGACAGCAAAGGGAATAAAAGTGTATTCTCCATCTCCTACCTCCTGAAATGTTCTGCTTTGGCTGCCACTGTCATCTAGGTATGCAGACAGCTTCCGAAGCGATGCTGCCACATGAACCCGGGACTCCATTTGGCTGCTGTGGCTCATGAGGGACAGAACAAGTCCAACTCCCAATATACAGCCCGTGCTTGGATGCCAAAGAAGACGAAGGGTTAGAATCACAAGAAATCCACATAACTGCTCTTCCCTTACCATCGGAGTTTACAGTGTTCTGAAACCTGAGGTGAGATGGCTGGATTCTAATTCTGCTGCCTAGTATATGACTGTGCCCCCTGACCCATGGCAGGTATACCCATCGCTCCCGCAAAAGAAAACTTTATATCAAAATACGTGTCCATTGCCCATGCTAGTTGCTGTGCAGCCACTGGACAAAAACAAAAACATGAAATAGTATGACTGAAACCCTATGATGAGGAGGGGAAAGGCATACACCAGCTCCATTTCTGCCCATACAGAAAAGCTGCAGTCCGGGCCGGCCCGGTGGCGCACTGCTACAGTGCGCCGCTTGGGAGTGCGGTGGCGCTCCCGCNAAACACTGACAAAAGAGCCAATTAAAAAAAAAAACCATAATCGTTGACAGGATGCATTATTTTATAAGGGATTAAAAGTACATGTGTCTCTTTCATTTGAAATAGCCTGTTCTTTTATTGTTAAGCTATATATCTTAGCAGCTCCTATAAATGGTCCAATAAAGTAGTTCTTTTTCCTGTATAAAAATATAAAATAGCGTACAGGAGATGACCTCTACCTGTGCTAGCACAATTTTGATCCAGGCAGGGAGCAGTCTGCTGCCCAAGTCTTCAGCTTTTCCATGTCCACACACAGACAAACCATGAACTATGTTTCCTAATGCCAGGGCAAAACCTGAAGTCTGGTATAAAACAAGGGGTGAGAAAAAGAAAAAAAGAAGACACAGGTTAGAAATGTTTATATACAGCAACATAAACACTTCTAGGGGTTCCCTTTCCTACTGATGAATTCTATTTGCCATCTAAAAATTAGAGATTTACAGATTTTTTTTTTTAATCTAGACTTTGGTTTGTAATAGAAACTGCAGAGTCTAACTGCAAGGAATTAAGTTTTAGTGAGTAGTTTATTTTAGGAAAATAATGCTGTACTGTTGAGAAACTTAGCTCAAACAATCCAAATTCTCATAAGGTGTTAGGGTGAAAATACCAAAGTAGACCACACAAGGTAAATTAACTCCTAAGCAAAAAGAAAAACATCCCATAATAAGCACAGCATATAAAAATGTCTACATTTTGGTTTTGCAAAACATATTCTGAATGTAACTGGGCAGACGTAACCATAAAACAGTAACATGCTATTATAAGCTTAAAACCAGTGAATCTTTCAACAATGCACTATGGCCAATATTAAGACTTTGGAGAAATGTAACAACAAAAAAAAAAAATCCAAATTGGGAAATTCTATAATGTATAATCAGAGGGAATATTTTTGCTTTCAACAGTGAATCTTTCAACAATGCACTATGGCCAATATTAAGACTTTGGAGAAATGTAACAACAACAAAAAAAATCCAAATTGGGAAATTCTATAATGTATAATCAGAGGGAATATTTTTGCTTTCATTTTTTTTTTTTTACTGTGGCAAAATACACATAAAATTTTTCCGTCCTAACTGTGAATACCAACCAGTTCGGTGACATTAAACATGAAGACACAGACTTGTATTGTTGTTCAACCCTCACTACCGTTCATCTCCAGAACTCTTTTCATCCTAAAATACTACAACTCTATATACATTAAACAATTACTCTCCATTCCTCCCTCCCCCCAGCCCTTGGAAACCACTTTCTGTCTCTATGCATTTGACTACGCTAAGTACATCATATAAGTGGATTCATACAATATTTACACTTTTGTGATTGACCTACTTCACTTAGCATAATGTCCTCCAGGTTCATCCATGTTGTAGCACATGTCAGAACTTCCTTTCTAAGACTGAATAATATTTCAGAGGGAACATTTTAATGGTATTTAATTTAATTTATACTATTTAAATTTCCCTATACATATTCAGGCACGAGCAGGGATTTTCTGCTTTGATTTTCTGAAGTTTGACGTCATCAGTGTCCTTTATGTATTCATATCTTTACAAATTTTTGTCTCAAGCCTTACATAACTCTTAATTCCCTAGCCACATTCTTTAAGATTTTATAAATATGAAGCAATAGTTGGAGAAAGAGAAAAGCCTTTTAATTCTCTCCCAGACAAAGAAAAAAATGTCTACAGAAGAAGATATGGGATAAAAAGAAAAAAAGACATCTGTGACTATTGGTATAGCGGTGAGAGAAAAAAATAGAGGTTTCTCAGTTCTAATAGTGAAAAATATCCCATTATAGTATAATTCAGAAGCAGGACTGCTAAGTCAAAAGCAGGACTTAGCAGTAGCATGAAACCCACAGAGAGAAATAATCAGGGCACACATTCCAACCTGCTGGTTGTTCTCTACTAACAGTCGAAGCTTGTTCATAATATCTTCAGCCTCCGCAGCCTCAATAATGCCAGCACTGAATGCTGATGTACATATACAGCTAAGGGTGTAGGCAAGCACCTGAGAAGAAAATACAGCAGAAAAATATTTCTTCATGAGGCAAGATAAAAGAACATGGCTTAGTTGACACAAATATTCTGCCAAACTTCTCCTTTGAAGAATTGGATTCAAATACATTCACTACAGACTGGGCACTGTTTTGCTGCCTAACTTATTATAGTTCATAACAATGTCATGATGGGTAACATTATTTCTACTTTATAGATAAGGACTTTCAGGCTCAATTACACATAGCTAACAAGTGACAGAGGCAGAATTCAAATCCAGGTCCTTAGATACTAAATCAAAAGGTTTCTTCACCCCATCATGCCAGAACACAACACGTATCAACAGCAGAAAGAAACAGATTTTCATCACCAGTGGATGTTGCTAATTGCAATGCACTCCCAACCAAGGTCAAACAGGACAGGAAAGTCAAGTAATTGAAACACTGCTATTAAGATTCCCTAGGAGAAGTAGTGGAGGATAACTGGAACAGGAATTTGGGTTTTGAAGTCAGATAATTATGTAAAATAGGGATAATACTACCCACTTCATAGCACTAGTGTGAGAACTTAATAAATAACTGAATAAATAAATAAATGAATGAATAAACAATATAAATAAAAAAGAATGTTGGGAGTGGAGACAATACTTGGATGTATGTCCCAAATTGACCATTTACTATCTAAGTAACTTCGGGCAAGTTACTCAATGTGAGTCTAAATTTTTGCAAATCAAGGCTAATCATCCCTTCTCTCCTACCTCACATTTTCATGATATAAGGATACTGTTAAGACAAAGTAGAAAATTCAACTTCTAGTGCTGGTTGATGCAGCATGAAAAATGTAAGCGGTTTCTAAGGCAGAAATTGAATAATTAAACATCACAGAAGAGAGGGGAAAAAAACTGCTTGCTTAAGGCCTTATAAATCAAAATATCAAGGCAGAAAGATGCATCAGTTATAAAAACCTTGCTTTCATTTATTCATCAAATTGCTCCTCGGAAAAATCACAAGATTTCTTCCTTTGGCTTAAAATAAAATCATGCTCTTTTTTTCATGTACTTTTAAATCATGCTCTACACCACTTTAAAAATGGAAATGTAGTGCATTTCTTAGAACAAAACTTCAACCTTTTGTGCCCCATAGAAATTCACCAATTCAACAAGTCCTATTGCTGAAAGCAGAGGAGCTGAGCAGGGAAACACAGCAGCCATTATGTACTCATCAATAGCTCGTGGGCAGGCTGGGATAAAATAGAATCTGCTCTAACGAGAGGAAGAATCTGGCCAGGCCACAAGGTCATCCCCTGCTCCTCCCAAAGAAGAGCACAGGCGATTAAGCTTCACCTGGGCACAACGGAGACAGCCATGCACATGCCAAAAACGTTCCAGTTAAACATGGTTAACACCTATGGAATGTGTCACATGAACCCTAATTCTGCATATTTTTGCACCATAACAGAAAAATCTTTTCATTAAGTATGGTAAAGGGAATTTCCTCAATAATTTTTCATGCTCGCTGACATTTGAAAAAATCAAATGGCTTTCGATTTGTAGTTTCTTAAGTTTATTCCTGGCCATTTTTTAAAGTTATATTTAGCTTTAGCATAATTCTAAAAATCTCCATTTTACCTTCTTCCAGAAGTTGCAGCTCTCCTTAGAAAGTGCCTTCTAGTGATGCTGACTTAGGTTTTTGTATTCACTAAAGGCTCTTATCTTATATGCCACATTTAAGTCTAAGTTGATTTAAACAGCCGCACAATTTGAAAACCTTATGATCTAATATAGGTTGTTTGCCAGTCAGATTTTCTCCTTATCTCACTTAAAATTGAGGAAGAATTTAATTTACAGGGTTTCCAAAATATCAGTAGTAGCAAATAAGCAGCAACAAGAAAACAAAAGACAGCAAAGGGAATAAAAGTGTATTCTCCATCTCCTACCTCCTGAAATGTTCTGCTTTGGCTGCCACTGTCATCTAGGTATGCAGACAGCTTCCGAAGCGATGCTGCCACATGAACCCGGGACTCCATTTGGCTGCTGTGGCTCATGAGGGACAGAACAAGTCCAACTCCCAATATACAGCCCGTGCTTGGATGCCAAAGAAGACGAAGGGTTAGAATCACAAGAAATCCACATAACTGCTCTTCCCTTACCATCGGAGTTTACAGTGTTCTGAAACCTGAGGTGAGATGGCTGGATTCTAATTCTGCTGCCTAGTATATGACTGTGCCCCCTGACCCATGGCAGGTATACCCATCGCTCCCGCAAAAGAAAACTTTATAGCAAAATACGTGTCCATTGCCCATGCTAGTTGCTGCGCAGCCACTGGACAAAAACAAAAACATGAAATAGTATGACTGAAACCCTATGATGAGGAGGGGGAAGGCATACACCAGCTCCATTTCTGCCCATACAGAAAAGCTGCACAGCCACTGGACAAAAACAAAAACATGAAATAGTATGACTGAAACCCTATGATGAGGAGGGGAAAGGCATACACCAGCTCCATTTCTGCCCATACAGAAATGCTGCAGTCCTCTCTCCACCCCACCGTTGTTGAGTACACTATGATTAACTGCATAAACACAGAAAAGACTAAATTTCAGTATATGAGCTGAAGGTATCTGACTAATAACAGGGGAGATAATTGCAAGGCGTGATTATGAGGTACTGCTTCATGTTTCCTGGTCAACTTCAACAAGTGGAATTTCTTCCTTAAAGAAACTGTGTATTCATCTGTGCACAATGACATTAATCCTTCTCTCCCCTCTGATCTCTCAGACTACCACTGGGTCAGAAGAGAAAATGGACAAATGGCAGGCTTGTCAAAAGTTACCCCATGTGACAATTCAATTGAAATCTGGGGCTCTGTGCCCCAATTCTCCAGAAAGAACACATATCAACTTAAAGAAAAGAATTGTTCTCTCAGAAAACTTCAAGTTAATATGATAAGATAATGCACCTTGTGGTAATTTTTTACCATTCAAAAAATGTTTTTGTCATCATTGTTGTTTTTAAATGGAAGAAATACCATACCAAATTTTTTTTCTTTTTTTTTGTCCTTTTTGAGACCGGCTGCACCACGCTCAGCCAGTGAGCACTGTGAGCGCACTGGTCATCCCTATATAGGATCCAAACCCGCGGCGGGAGCGCTGCTGTGCTCCCAGCACTGCACTCTCCCGAGTGCGCCACGGGCTCGGCCTGAAATACCAAATTTTTAAAAAAATCATCCTCACTCTATAGTTTGGCTTGCCTCTCATCGTGACATGCTTAAGATGACATTCCAGGGCATTTCTTCAATAACATATCTCGATGCCTGTATT